AACTTCAGTGGTTCATGGGATTTGTTCAGCTGGCTGGGTCCAGGACCCTTGTGGGCATGGTAGAGATCAATCCTCCTCATTAAAGTCCTGTATATAGTATCTTCAAATAAATGCAGATGAAAAAATTGAATGGATTTTCTCCCAATCCCTGCCATTCAGATTAATTAGAGGAGTGGCAATGTCATGGGGAAATTTGCTATTAGCCAACAATGTTGTAGAAAGAATGTGAATATTATATTATTGGGAGACATTTCTCCAAAGGTCTCCTGTGTTACTACACATTTTGAAAACAGGAGTTCTTATTAGAGAACACGGGTTCCCTAAGCTCAGGGTTTCTTGGGTGTCATATAAGCCCATTACTCATACAGTATTCACTTGAACTGTTCCACATTGCCTTGTGGAACTTGAGGGCAAGAGAAACAGATGTTACTATGAGGCTCATGTTGCTTGCTGTACTATGAGTAGTAAGTCTTCTATACAATCTGAAAGCATGGTGTTTTCCACTGCTATCCATGAAAGTGATGCCGGCTACATTGTTACCTTGCAAATAGGGTCAAATTCCCAACCTTTCACAATTTCTTACAGCATTACATCACAAATGTTAGCTATAAGAGATCATGGGACTATTGTTTTTCTATAAACAGGACTATAGCCAGGAATATTACACTCTCAGACAAATTTGGTATTATATCTGCAAAGAAAAAAGAATGGTTATTGAGTCAGCCAGGTAAACATAGCCTGTGAACCATCAGAGTTTACCTTAAAAAGCCAGGTGGCTTTCTCAAATTTCTGCATATACCTTTACTGGGCCAGAAGCATTAATCCAACAACAAAAGGATGTATTTGTGGTTGCTAAATTTCTACTTTTGTCCACAAGGAGAAGACAGCCATTTCTCTATAGCTATCTGCTACAGATTGGTCAGCCTATTTTGGCTGAGTGACTTTCTCATTTCCATGCTTTCAATGATAAGTAAACCTTCCTAATTGACATATAGTTTGTTCTCCTGGTATTAGTCTGTCGGAATTCTGTGGGCTTGAAGTCTCTTTATTGAAGATGATTCTATGTAAGTTATAGATTTGTTTTTATTTCACAATCTATTGGAAATTAATCTTATTTTTATATCTATAATGTTAATATACTCTCATGGTTGAAAGTTTAGGACTAGGAAGAGATCATTTGTATTTGAATTGGAGCTTCTCCACTTACTCAAAAGTCACCTGACCTCTCACTACCTCTGCTTTATCATTTGTAATAATAATAACTACCTCAGAGGACTCTTATGAGGATTAAATGAGATAATACATGTAAAGCAGTTAGAACAGAGGCTGGATATAGTAAATGTTCTCTATTAGATTAGCCCTTATTATTATATTCTTGAGTAATAGATTATTGCAACTCCTTTATACAGATCAGTGATTCAGATCATAGGCTCTGTCAGACTTTAAATATCAGATCTGATACTTCCTAGTTATGTTTTTTGTGGACAAGTTACCCATTGGTTGTTTCTGCCTCCCTATTCATAAAATTGTGACAGTAATATTCTTCATAGGACTACTGAGAGCAAATTATGATATCTCATTCTAGTATCTGACAAATTAAAATGATCAGATATATTTTTAATATTTTAATTGCTGCAATATTTGATCATACTTTCTATTGGTATGGGGGCTGTTTCTCACATATTTTTGCCTCTTAAAATATTATTAACTTCCACAATCAAGATTGAAGTCATTCCATAAAGCCTTCTTTAATCCCTTCTGCAAAATTAAGCACTTCTTTACACACCAGTAGCACTGAGTTTAAATCATTCAGAACACTTAACACACTATTTTCTCTATTAAGAGACACATCTTTTGTTAATTATAAGTTTATTAAAGACTAAGACTACATTTTGTAATACTTTGTATCTCATACTTTGTATTGCACTGAGCAAATAAGCAATGGATATTTCTCAAAAGATCTATTTTTAAAAACTCAACACTTCCTAACCTATTTTAAAGCCTTTTAAAACATGTTTTGAATCAATCCATTCACATTTTTTCATATTTTCATCCATTTACTTAAAGATATCAATTTTCTTTGTTAAGAAATTTAAAGTAGACATTTAAATTTTGCCCTTAATTATAATTAACTGCTTCTGAAAAAGGGGTTTCTCCACTTGACTTGATGTAGAAGTCTAAATCTTTATTAAAAGTATATATTTTTTCTAAATAAAATATATTTTCAATAACATTTGGCCCCAGGAAGCTGCCTAATTCCATTCATAGATGATAGCTAATTCATTTCTTAATGGCAGCAATTCTTGATAACCAACATAAAAGTCAAATACAATTCTGATGTTTGAAGTTAAAATGATGGCACTGATGAATGGATATGTAAATACAAGTAGCTCTTTTCAAAGTACAAAGCGTTTGAATAGCTTGCTGTTTATTTTGGACTACAGTCCAATGCTTTACTTGCAAGATTTATTGTAAGTATAAGTATTAAAGGGAAATTTTCTTTCATTAAACAAGTTTATGACTGAAAATAATTTTAATAAAAGCAGAAATATTTTTCATAAATTATTAAGTTAAATAAGTGAAAAAAGCAAGTTCATCCCAAGAATAAAAGAAAATTCCTAAAGCAAACCTCGTATCTAACTAGATGACCCAATCATATGTTACATGATTATTCCATCTTATTTACTCAACGAAAAACTCAGGAGAAAAGAATAAGAAATTTCAAACATGTATAAATGATTCTGTGACTACCTATTTAATATACATTTTCAAAATATAGTTATCTCACCCACAATAAAAATGTCTTCTTTTATACAAATTACCTGACTATAATCTATGAAGGACTTGGAAAAAAACTAACAAGGAATTTTCTTGCTTCATGGTCATTTATAATGAAAGAGTGATGTTCTTGTTTTAATGTTGAGAAAATGCCTTAATCAAAAGTTACTTTTCTGTTCCAAATCCTAGCACTTTGGGAGGCTGAGACAGGCAGATCACAAGGTCAAGGGATAGAGACCATCCAGGCTAACATGATGAAACTCTGTTTCTACTAAACATGCAAAAAAAAATAGCCAAATGTGGTGGCATATGCCTGTAGTTCCAGCTACTCAGGAGGCTGAGGCAGGAAAATCACTTGAACCCAGGAGGTGGAGGTTGCAGTGAGCCGCAATCATGCCACTGTACTCCAGCCTCGGCAACAAAATGAGAGTCCGTATCAAAAAAAGTTACCTTCTGTTCTTTATTTCATAGGACTATTTTCATAGTACTAACTAAAAGCACCATGGCATGTGTATACCTCTGTAATAAACTTGCACATTCTACACATGTACCCTGGAACTTAAAGCATAATAAGAGTTAAGGTTTTTAAATTTATTATTTCAATACATGTTTGATCATAGGTCATAAGAATACCATTTAAGTTATAAAGCTCACAAATAATCTGACTGTAAGAAAATCAACCAAGGCTTATTCAGCAGGTTGATTACAGAGAAATTACTATGTTCACTAAATAATCCTATCAGGGAATTTCAGACTTGCGTTGGGTTCAATCCTTACTTTTACTGATGAGCCAATTATTTTTAATATCCTTTTTGTTTATTCTATTCATTTCAGTCTCTTAGTCTGTGTTCTGTGACCCCTTAATAACATGAATTAAGCAACAAAAATAAGGATTTCCGTCTTGGAGACAAAGGAGTATGTTTCCAGAGAGTGCCACAGGCTTTGGCTGAAGCCACTCCACCAAGTTTAATGGGACTCTGGCTGCCAAAACCCCATGCAACGATTGAATGTTTAGGGCTAAATGTAACTGCCACTTGCTCTCCCTCCCTGGGAGTCCACAGCAGCTCTTTCTTATTTGTTGCTTCCCAGATTCCTGCCAACTTGTTTGTTCTCAGTTCTATTGATGGCACTTTCTGGCTGACTCTTGTGTAACTGTTCTCCAATATTGTTCACATTGCTGGGTAGCTTAGGAGGAGAAGGCAATTTTTAAAATGTTTATTTACTTATTTGCCAAGAAAAGTAAGTTATGCTACAGAGAGTGAAATCTCTGGTTTTTTTTTTTTCCAGAAAAATGTAAAAACTGAGCCCATCCATACTGAACAGAAAATTTTTGTAAGACTCCTTCTCAAGACAACCTCTAAGAAAACACATGTTTCAAAATATGCATTCTTTAAAAAGATCTGTCTATTTTCCCTCATTTAGTCATACTCATCTATATTTTATTTCTCCCCCTAAAGACACAAATAAGAGGCAACTATAGGTTAATATCTCTGGATAAAAAAAGATAGATACATTCAGAAAAATGTATGTCAACCAAAATATTATTTGGTTTAGTTTTTAATGAAGTACCAGTAAATATACTGAGACAAAGCATTGTCTTCTCAAATTATGGTAAATTTAGGGACAATGCTTTATGTTTTACTTTGGAAGATTAAAGAAATTGTTTTTGTAGTACTGAATACTTTTGTGAGATTTCCTACATAGATAGCATGCAATATGAACTGTATGATGATATCATTTTAGTGATTCCAAGGAGCTAAGTACTCAGTAGATATTAAAGTCTACACAAGGGTGTAAGCAAGATCTTTCAGATTTCATTTAACCAACTAATAGAAAGAGGTAAATTTTCAGTGTTCTAGGGTTATCCAATATGGTTTTCTGCGTTATAGTGGGGTATACATAGTTTTGAAAGGGAAGAAAGACAGTGTTGTTTTTATGACTAAATTCCTATTATTAGAAAAATCAAGATGTAATGGAGTCAGATTCTCTCTAGAAACATTTGTAAACTGAACATTAAGTGGTACAAGTATTTATATTTAAACTTCACTTTATACCAAAATGTTGGACTTAAACACATTAACTTAAATACCTAAGAAGAATATGACAAAACAAGAAAACCACAAATAACAATGAATAATTTCCTTGAAATTTTTAAGATTTCATGAAATTGTTTCTCATGCAAATATCAGCTTACAAAGCTCACACAAATTATAAACACTTACCATATTCACTATCATAGAATATAATGAATTTCTGCCAGGCATACTCTGTGACCACTCTTAAGATAACGTCATTCAAGTAGACAGGTGGGCGAACTGAGAGAGTGTAGTCATCATTCCTGTTGCTCCGCGTGAGTCCACAGCCACTCCTTGGGGTCCCAGCTGTTGAGCGCTGAATGAAGAGGTGGGGGATATGCATGGCATCTGCCAAAGACTGGAGGGATCCTGCTGATGTACAGCCAATGGAGCTGACCAGGGCCAAGATGCCTTGATTCATAAGTTCACAGGCTGTAAGAAAGCACAGTAATATTCAAAATGTCAATGGGTTTCACATATTTTCCCTTTTTGAGAAGCAGTGGATAGATAAAGCTTATAGATTTTTATACAGGTATACAAATGTTTTAGAAAATAACATTCTATATGAGGAGATCCTCAAATTACAAAGCGCTATTCGTATTTCAAGAATTCTGCTCTTATTAGCTATGTGACTTGTGCAAATTACTTAGCTTCTCTTGGCTCAGTTTCATCATCTGTAAAGAGGTTAAAATTAAGAATCTTCCAGGAATATTGCAAGGATTAGAGAAAATACAGTGTCAGTTATTTGCCTCTCACATGATAAATATTCAATTAGTGGGAGATAAACTTTTATAATTATCAATTTATAATTCAGAGAAAAGATAATTCCCAACTGAATGTATAATACAAGGTTTCAAAAAGTAGATGATATGTAAACTGGTGCATAAATGGAAAGATGAAGGTTTGGCGAAAGCATTTCTGGCCACAGAAAACAGCGCTTCTGGTATCTAAAAACTTGATGACATTGCCCCTTTTCATAAATTGGAGAAATAAAAATGTTTTTGTTCTTTTCTTTGACAGTAAGAAAACTTATGGTCAAATCAAATCAAATACTAAATTGTAGCCACTGTCTCACTCTGGTTCCCAGATCAACAATTTATAATTTCTACTATATGGTTACAATCTATTTTAATTTCACTTTATTCTATGTGCATATCTCAAAATGTACTTAAAACTGGATCAAATGTAAATTATAAGTAAATGTAAAGAAATTGCATACACACAAAAAAGAGTTAAGAGGTATACTGACAATCTTTGAAAAGATCAAAAATAAATTCAAAAATAAATGCAGAAAAAAATCAATGAAAAAATTATTTTTATATTGGAAGCTCATTTGTTATAACTGGTTCAGCCTTATGTTAGATTTTAGGCATTCTAGGCATAACATTCTTAAGATTCAAAATTTATTATGGATTGTTTTACATAGTTCTTTAAAAATTTAAAGGAAAACTTAATGGTAAGTTCTTGTATATAATTAATTGGCCAGGTAATGAAGGCTGATTTAAAGTGCAAGCTTAAAAATACTATACTAATGATAAGCATATAATCATCAAATAAATGTATTATTATTAATGCCAAGGCAACCAATACATGCAAAATAAATAAATAATTATTAAAGACATATTTTTCAAGCATTGTCTCATGAAAGAGATTATACTCATTTCCAATAAATGTGAAAGCATGAAGGATGGATGCTTCTTCTTCTTCTTTTTTTTTTTTTTTTTTTTTTTTTTTTGAGTTGGGTTCTGGCTCGTTTCCCCATGTTGGTCAGGCGGGTCTCAAACTTCTGACCACATGATCTACCTGCCTCAGTCTCCCAAAATGCTGGGATTATAGGCATGAGCCACTGTGTCTGGCCCAGATGGATACTTCTTAGACCATAACATTTTGAGGTCTAATTTTAGCAAAAATCACATGTTCTACTCATGTACATGAATTCAATTTTCATAGAAAATAATATGTTTATATTTAGAAGTTCAATTAATTAATGCAAAAAGAGTAATCAAATTTTTATTTCATTACTTTCATATGTACGACCATTAATCATTTATATAAGCAAAAAGAAAGTCACTTTTTAGAAGAGATTTTGTTTGTAGCATTTAAAATCAAAATAAGAAAAGTGCCTTAATGTGTACACAGCTGGATTCAAACTTCAGATTATATCAATTACAGGTAATTAAGTAAGTATAATATTTTACATACTTCTACCACAAAACTTATAAAGTTATCAACATTGAAATTTGGAGAAAAATTTACTTTCAGTATTATATTCTGTCAAATATAACATTGTAGGAAAACTGACTGTTTTAATCTTCAGATTTAGAAGGATACATTCCAAAATTAAAAGTCATACATTAATCTTGCTTAGCAGATAAATTTGCTTTAGCATATATTCTTGTTTCTTTCAATTCACTGTTACTTTCTATTAATCTCCATTAGAACACAAATTAAGCAAATACTAAAACCAGTTATTTTTGTATAAGAAAATGTGTTGTTTTTGGATTACTATTTGGTATTACTTATCATGCTATTTGTATTAGTAAGAATATCTTAAATTTTCCTATAAAATCAAAATAGAAATAATCAAAAATTATAGTCAGAAAACATATAATATCAGGTCTGGAAGATAATTTGGAGATCATGCAGTCCAAGGATGGAAAATTTGCTTTACCTGCTGTGCTTATGATGACCTTGTTGGCAAATTGGTATCCTGGAATGTTGTTTTGAGAGTTTGAGACTCAATAAGAAAAAGTACCAAAAGCATTTTGTTAGGTTTCTCATAGAAATAGACTGGGAGAGTAGTGGCCTGTGAGTTACAAATGAGCATCCCTCTGTTAGTACCCAACCCTTTATGGTCAAGAAATCACACACCCACACTTAAAAAACAAAATAGATGACCCAGCTCTCTAATCCACTGCCCACTGCCCTTTTCACCACAACAGCACAAATGGAGAGTCTTGTATTTGTATCCTTAAAATTTTGCATAGCAAAGGTAAAGCTCTAACTAGGGAAAACCTCGTTTGAGATAGTTTTATTGTCCAGTTTGTTGAAAGGACAGATTCACAAGAAAAAAACGAACAAACCCCTTCAAAAGTGGGGGAAGGATATGAACAGACACTTTTCAAAAGAAGACATTTATGAAGCCAACAAACATATGAAAAAATGCTCATCATCGTTGGTTATCAGAGAAACTCAAGTCAAAACCACATGGAGATACCATCTCAGGCCAGTTAGAAAGGTGATCATTAAAAAGTCTGGAGACAATAGATGCTGGAGAGGATTTGGAGAAATAGGAACACTTTTACACTGTTGGTGGGAGTGTAAATTAGTTCAACCATTGTAGAAGACAGCGTGGCAATTCCTCAAGGACCTAGAAATAGAAATTCCATTTGACCCAGCAATCCCATTACTCGGTATATACAGTATATATCCAAAGGATTATAAATCATTCTATTATAAGGACAAACACACAGGTATGTTCATTGCAGCACTGTTTACAATAGCAAAGACCTGGAGCCAACCCAAATGCCCATCAATGATGGACGGTACAAGGAAAATGTGGCACATATACACCATGGAATACTACATAGCCATAAAAAATGATGAGTTTGTGTCCTTTGTAGGGACATGGATGAATCTGGAAACCATCATTCTTAGCAAACTGACAGAAGAACAGAAAATCAAACACTGCATGTTCTCATTCATAGGTGGGTGTTGAACAATGAGAACACATGGATACAGGGAGGGGAGCATCACACACTGGGGTCTGTGGGGGGGGAATGGGGAGGGACAGCCGGGGGTAGAGAGGTTGGGAGGAATAACGTGGGAAGAAATGCCAGATATAGGTGATGGGGGAGATGGGGGCAGCAAACCACATTTCCAAGTATGTACCTATGCAACAATCCTGCATGTTCTGCACATGTACCCCAGAACCTAAAGTGCAATTATATATATATATATATATATATATATAAAGAGAGAGAGAGAGAGAGAGAGAGAGAGAGAGAGAAAGGAGGTAGCGACACTGAAGAGGAAAGGAAGACTTCACACAATTAAAATGAATTGGGACTGGACGACTCAAAATAAAACACTAGTTGTGCACGTATAAGAACAGGCCTCCACAGTAACCTGCCGTTTCCCCTTCTAGGCTCTATTTGATGCCAATTTTGCCAAAACAAAATGTCGGTTAAATATGGAAGATAGAAATTGATTTGCTCTGGAACTATAGGGACCTAGATTAAGGTTAGTATAAAAAATAGACTATAACTCATGTCAGCTGAAAAGAGATTTCAGGAAATAAAAGGCTGCAATAAGAACAGAAACAAAGCTTAATAAAGTAGACGACCTTTTGCAAGAATTTCATGTCTTGACAATTAAAAGACTTTATTATTATGAGTTGTAGTTTCATAGGATACATAGTTGGTTCATTAGATATAGAAGGAGAACCGAATTTGGAAGATCAGAACGTGTGTGTGTGTTTATCAACTACTTTAAATTAAAATAATCTGAACCTAGACCATCTTAATGGCATATTTCTTTATCATTTTTCAAGCTTTGTGATTTATTTACACTATATATACACACATATAAAAAAAACATCTGTATATACACCATATTGAAAAGCCTGCTGGTTTGTGACTCCAGCTGTTTGAGATTCTAACACTATCAAAGATGTTTCGAGTTTTGAATTAACTGCCAAAAGCACAACTATTATTTTTATTATTTTTAATAGCAATTCCAATTAGCAACACTTTTACCATTTGTGGTCACTCTACAGTTATGGAATTTAATTCTGCTCTATAAATGTATACATTTAAGCTAAGTTATGTTCATGTAAACTACCATTTTCATTTCTTAAGCTAAGCATTTTGAGTCTTTTTTTTCTTTAGTAAAATAAGATAAAAAATAAAAAGCATAGAGTTAAAAAAATTTATTACCACTTACTGAATACTCATTGAGAACTCAGTAAAACATTTTTGGGTAGCATTACAGTTTTTGAACCCATATATTCTTTGTGATTTTTTTTCTGACTTGTTTATACTGACCAATTTGTCCTGATATAACTTCTTCCAGTGATGTTAAGTCACAGCAGGACTTTAGCACATTACATTCATACACTGCTATGGTTTGAATGTGTCCCCCAAAGTTAAGGTATTGAAAACTTGATTCCCAAAGTGGTGGTGTTGGGAGGTGGAACCTAATGGGATGTGTTTGGGTCATGGGGGCACTACCTGTTTGAATGGATTAATGCTATTATTGTGCTAGTGGGCTCCTTATAAAAGGACAGGTTTGGCCTCCTCTTGCCTTTCTCTTGCCTTCTCTTTGGCCTTCCACCATAGGATGACACAGCAAGAAGGGCTTCTCCAGATACCAATGTATTGATTTTGACTTCCCAGCCTCTAGAACTGTGAGAAAATAAGTTTCTGTTCCTT